CACAGGAAGGGGCTGGGCACAGGCCACAGGAATGGCTTGTCTTCTGGGCAAGACAGAGTAGCTTCCAGAGTCCCTCTATGAACTCGACCTCTTCCATTTTCCCTGCCTCTTTGTTCCTCCCCAGGCACAGAACTGCTGGCTGTGCTGCAACCACAGCTTTGGATTCCAGCAGACATGGAGCCCAAGGATAGAAGAGCAGGCCTGCAAACCTGACCTCAAGTTTCTCCCAGGTCCCCCAAATTTGGAGGGGGATGGGGCCTCTGCAAATTTCTGTTCAACAGTGTGCTATATGAAGTGACTCACCTGGGGAGACTGAAGGAGCTGGGCAGGCAGGGGAAGTCAAGGAGAGCCAGAGTTCATGGAGCCACCCAGATTCTAGTACAGACTCCTCAGCCTCCACTATTGGAGTGGCTTCAGGTAGGTTATGTCCCCGGTCTGAGGTTCAAGTTTCCTCCTTAGAAAATGACACAGGAAGATCAGAAGGCTCAGTAGTTAGCCTAGGGTCTGGCACAAAGTAGCTAGCAACCAAGGTCAGGCGTAGCTGTACCATGCAGCTGCAGGTCACGGCTGGGTAGGAGCCCATGGTGGCCATGGTGGCCTTGGGTTATGGGCCTGTCAGGTCTCTTCACTGCTCGCACTGGTAAACTCTCAGAAGCAGAGTGGGGCAAGAGGAATGACTGCCAACCTGGACACTGCCCCCTGCTGAGTGTCTTCTCCCACCAGAAGAGAATGATAATCGTGTCTATTTCATAGCTTTGTATGATCCCAGCACATAGAAATCTTCCACGAGAGCTGGTGGAGTGGCTCAAGTGGTAGAGAGCCTGCCTAGCAAGTGTGAGGGCCTAAGTTCAAACCTCAGTGCTGCCAAAAAAAATCATCAATTAGCAAATTCCCCCCTGCCTGCTCTGGCACCATGCCCTCCAGTTTTGGAGTAGGATTGCATGGGTTTGAAACCAAGCTCTGGTACTGACCAGCTGGGTGAGTTTTTCCTCAGCTATGTGCCTAAGATGAATTTGTCTGTTTCTTCAGCAGAATGCAGAGGTGTAAAAGGATTAGACAGGTTCATCTGCAAAGAGCTTTTTGCAAAGACAGTGCCACCATGCGTAAGCCCTGCAAGTCATAAATAAGTGGAATCCAGATCACCAGCTCTTTCTTCAGGACCCAGTCTAGTGGGGGGAGGTCAGTGAGATGTGGGGCTGTAGGGCTGTCACCTCCAGCACAGGCACACATGGCCTGAGCCCAGAATGTTCCCCAAAGGATGTGAGGGGCAGGAGGTGGCAGTGCAGAATGCCACGTGGCCTGGATGTGTTCCTGATGACTCCCAGGCTGCGTGCCTGGCTGCCTTTCAAGTCCTGGGGTCTCTGGATGCCCTATGAGTTCTGAGCGTTCTGTTCAAAGACAACTATTTACTTTTTTGCTGTTTTGCTGTTGTTGTTGAAGTGGTAGGCCTCGAACCCAGTAAGAACTCTACCACCAACCCCAGCCCTTGCTTTTTTAAGATCGGGTCTCATCGTGTAGCCCAGACTGGTCTCCAGCTCCTGATCCTCCTGTATCTGCCTCCCAAGTGCTGAGATTACAGATGTGCCCCACCATGCCCTGCTCACATACAAGTATTTAGATACACAAAGTATCCTGGACTTCAGGAGAGATCTGAGCAAAGTAAGAGGTCAGTAACTATTCTGATTTGACAAAAAATAAATAAATAAATAAACGAAACACTGGATGGATTAAGACAGAAACGGTGGACCTGTGTCACGGCCAGGAGAAGGAGAGGTGGCTGGTCTCCCATGTTGGGAACACCAGCGGGTCCTCTGCTGGCAATTCACACGGAAACAGCCGGTCCGATGAGTGAACCGCTTCAACCCAGATGCAGGAGTCTTTTTTTTTTAATCACCGGGTTTTTTTTCCGATAGTTTTTAAACTGTCTACGAGCTTGTTTGATATTTTTATAAAAATAGTAAATATAAAACTAGTTCCCGATGTTCTCCCGGGCGCTCCAGGCATGTGCAAACCAAGCAGGAACCACCCCAATGTCCAAGCGCTTTACGCCCTCGGAGGCGCCTAGTGCTTCTTGTATCTTTCCCATTTTTCCTGTCCTGGTTAAAATGTCTCACCTGCACGCATCATTTATGTAATAGTTGAAAACCCAAACTAATAATACTGATTTAACCGGGGAAGTGGTGATCGCTGTGAAAACACGGCGTTGTCGCGTCAGCGCGCGTTCGTTCTGGCCCTTCCCGGGCCCGGCGCCGCGACTCCCCCAGCCGGTGCGCTCGGCTGAAAGCCTCCGCGTCCGCGCGGCCGCCCAGAGCTCCGCAAACTGCACTTGGCCGCGTATCCAGCCTGAATTTGAGGCCTGAGACTTGTCTCTCCGCTGGCGCGGTGACTGGAGCCAGGTCCCACTGTGTCTGTACTGAAGGGTCATCCCCAGCATGCTGGGCTCCCCTCGCCCTCCAGTATGTGCCCAGGCGATCCCCAGGTCCCAGCTTTGGGACCCTATGACCTTGACTATTGACTAACTTCTTCGGTCTCTCACTCTGCAGATGCAGATGGGTTAGGTTACAGAACTTCTGCAAAGCATTTGGTCGGGGGGGGGGGGCGGTCTCAATTTTGGCGACCCCTCCGTAGATGCCAACTAGCTAATCCCTTAGCGAGCAGCTCAGAAAGACTCAAGGAGACCCCTAGTGTCACTCAGCTGGTCCCTGAAGGAGAAGATGACAAAGAGAGAGGCTTCGTGGAAAAAGGCTTGGAACAAGAGGATGTAGCTCAATGGTACAGTGCTCGCCTGGCATGCGTTAGGCTGGGGGTTCAATCCCCAGACACACACACCACACACACACACACACACACACACACACACACACACTGTGTTAACTGAAAGAAATCTTGCTCCTAATGTTCGTGCACGCAAATATAAGATGAAAGAGAGGAAGGACACCCGCGGGTATGCAGGACCAGGAGGTTCCTGGGCAAATTGCTGATCAGATTGAGAGCGCCAAAGTGGATGATTTCGGATAGCATTTCCCCGGTTATGTGCGTTAGGCGCTCAGCTAGGTAGCAGAGCGCCGTCCTGCTTAGCCGATCTGGTGGCCTGGCAGGGCCTCCGTGTGCCCCTCCGTGACACGGAACCACTGGGGTAATCAAACCCAGCCTCAGAGCGCTGGCGGCACGACTGGTGTGGGCAAGCAGCGTGATGGAGGCCTAGGAGACCGAACGCCGGGCTAGGCTGAAGGCCTTCTCCTAGCTGTGGCCGAACCAGCCTGACTTGGGTCTTAAAACAGGGAATTCAAGTCGGGGAACTCCCTTTTCCCTTACTTCCCATAGCCAAGCCTTATCCCGGCGATTGGCGACAGCAGGTTCTCGAACGCCTTTTGTCCTATGCGGCACCCCACTCATATACCTTGCGGGGCTCCTCCTACTTAGTGGCTTTTGCCCTCTGTCCTCTTGCGGAGAGCTGGGGTGCGGCACTTACCAGAGGAGACCACGATGCAGGCTTTTGCTATGAGGGGCTTCTCCTAGCTCCAGGCCCAGTCAGTGACCCTTCGCCCCTCAGGATCACATTGAGCAGCACTCAGTCCCTAGACCCCACCAGCAATATTTTGGCTGAATCTGGGGCTCTCAGTTCAAAATCTCAAGTCCCACACTGCCAGCCCAGCACGTCTCCCAACGAAATACTTAGAAAACCCACATCCAGTGGAATACAAAGCCTCAACTCCCTTCCGCTTTTGTCCCTTTTTAAGACGTGTGGATTAGGGCCTCCTCCAATCCTGGGGACAGAGGGGCTGGGGGTCAGGTCTGAGCCCCTTCTAACTGGACTGGAGAAGCCAGGGCTCAGAGCCAGGCTTTCCTGTTATCTTCATTTTGCTCACAAAATGAACAAACTAAAACAAACAAGCAAAACAAAACAAAACAAGGAGGAATGCAGTGCAATGAGCAGCCACACAATTAGTAGGTTTTAAGTTTGATTTGGCCAAACCTCAGTTTTCTCATCTGTAAATTTGGTACAGCAATTACATTTGGCAGTTGAAATTTTAACTATGGTGAAATTAGTAAAATGCCCAGAGGAAACAATTCCATCAGGATAGGATGTATGTCCTATGGATAATGGGTCCAGCCTCTGTGTGAGAACAGAATCTAGCTGGGGCGCTGTGGAGACCTAGGCATTTGACATCTAGATTGTGTTAGGAACAGTCAGGGAAGCTTGACAAGGCTTTAGTTGTTGGCTTTTCCATCTGTAAAACAGGCATTCTTTTAAGTATTACTGCTGCTCCAGTAGCAAAAGGCCCAGGTCTTTGCTTTTCACTTAATGGCCAACACAAATGCCTGGCATACATTAGGGTTCAAGGACATCTGAGATGAAGTTGGTGCTCTGACTCTGACTTCTACTAGTATTGCCTATTTGCTGGAAGGCAAATCCTTTTCAGACCTCAGGGTATAAACTTTAAAATAGGATCTCCCTTGGGTTTTATTGGACAATCCCAGAAAGCGCCCAACGCGGGGCTCAAGATGGGTTAGTGTTTGTTATGATCAACATCATCAGTTTGCCCAGTGCAAGCTTGTGCCTGAGACTGGGAGGACTGCTGCCTCTGCGCTCAGAACCCGCAGCGCAGCAAGCTGGAAGAAGCACACCTGCGGGCTCGGTCAGCGCACTCACTTTAATGAGAAGGGGAGTCTCATTTCTTACAGCAACAGGTAAAAACATAAATACGGGTGGGTGGGCAGCGGCAGGGCAGTAAGGGCCCGGGCGCCCGGCCCAGGCTCGGGGAAGGGCAGCTGGATCTTAGGCGCGTGTGCTGGATCCGTCAGAGGTGCCGGTGGGCGCCCGGGACGGCGACCGAGATGCCAGGCTGCGGGATCACTCACTGTGATCAGGCTGCGTAAACGCGCTTGGGGACAAAGGCTTGTGGGGCGGAAAAGTTCCCAGGTCTCCTCAGGAGCGAACGTGAGACCCGAGGGACACAGAGTCGTGGCGGGAGCCCTTCCTTTGTCCCCCTCCTCCCCCCCACAGTCGGTGCCCTTCTCTTGAGGTGGGATGGGTCGGGGGCGCCCCAGGCGAATCCCTTCCCTACCAGGCTCGGATACCGTGCAGTGTGGACACCCCGGAGTTGCCCTGCGGAATCCCGGGACTCTGCACAGCGTTCAAGTCCCCGACGCCGAAGTTCACGAAGTTGTTGTTGCCCGCAGCCGTGGCGGGCTGCGCCGAGGGAGGCCCGGCGGGGTAAGCGGCTGCGCAGCTGTAGCCTGGGTTGCAGGCTGCGCCGCCATAACCCGGGTAGGCGGGGTAGGCGTTATAGCCATAGGCGTTGAGGCCCACGCCGTAGGCTGGTGCATAGGGCGCAGAGTCCCCAAGGCAGGGCTTGCCGTCACGCACCAGCACTGGCACCGCGATCCTGCGGGCAGGGGGCGGCGGCGGCGGGGGCAGCCCCACCAGCTCCAAAGTCTGGTCCTGTCGCTGCCGCTTGCACTTGTAGCGCCGATTCTGGAACCAGATCTTGACCTGCGTGGACGTGAGCTTCAGCACGCTGGCCAGCTGATCGCGCTCGGGAGCCGACAGGTACCGCTGCTGCTTGAAGCGCCGCTCCAGCTCGTAGACCTGCGCCTGTGAGAAGAGCACGCGTGGCTTCCTCCGCCGTCGCGCCCGGGGCCGCTCCGCGCTGTCCGCCTCCGGCTTCTCCAGCTCCACGGCCTTCTGCAGCGCGCACAGCTCTGGAGGGGAACAGAGAGGTAGCTCGGTCGATCAGAGCGGCCCGACCCGCGGGGCGCCCTCCAGGGAATGAGTCCTGGTAGCTGCCACCCTGGCCTGCCTGGAACAGCCAGCTTGGCTTTGGCTCTCCACCCAGTGCCCTGGGCTCCACCGACACCGCTCGATTTTTGCTCACAGCCAGTTAAGCATTTGTTGAAAGTCTAAGAGTCAGGGGCGGCCCTAGGCGCTGGGGAACAAAACAAGTGAAGTCTCTGCTCTTGTGCAGTCCCAGTCCTGGTGAGCCAGACTGTGACAAGCTTTCTAGCTGCAAAGAAGAGAAAGGCAGCTGATGTTCTAGGGGTAGATTGCATCAGGGCTACCTTGGTTTGAATAGTTAACTTAAAGGGGGTCGTCGGAGCAGTCACCTTGTCTCAAAATTAAAGAACCAAAGAAACAAGTCCAAGAGGTGTTGGTTTGGTGATGGAAAACTGCACGGCCACTGCCGCGTTTGTTCAACGTCGCAGCAGCCACGTGTAGGCAGGAGGCCTCGGAACCTGCGTTGCCCGCTTAATCGGGTTGGAGATGGTAGCAATTCATTCCATGCCCAGGCCTTCTCTCTGCTCCTAGAAAACCTAACAATCCTTTCCCAGCTCACAGAGCCCATTCGCCCACTGCCCCTGCCTCTGGTTTGTGCAGACCGGCATTGGGCCCAGGTCTCCCAGGCTTCCCCTTTCTGCGAGCAGGCCAGCCTCTCTCCTCCTACTCTAGGATGTCTGGCCAACGGATACCGCCACCTTCCGCAGCCCGTTCCTCCACTCCCGGGCACCTCAGTTGGGCAGCATTTTCTAACATTTCGCAGGACAGAACCTCTCAGCCCTGGCCCTGTTCGAAAATCGTGCTGGAAAAATGAAAACTAGGTCTGATTCCTGACGGTCTGCAGTAGCCCATGTTTAAAACAAGGCCCTAATTCTCCAGGCACAAAGGGGGAAAGGCCCAGAACCCATCTTCTGGGCTACCTAAAGTCCAGTGAACCCCCTCCAATTGTGCGTACAACCGCACTTCATTTCTGTTTAGAGCTCTCGCAGATTACCAAAAAGACCCCTAAATCCAAGAGAGATTTTAAATTCCTGACACAAAGGTCGCCTCATTCTCTCTGCTCTGCCGACCTCAAACTTGATCGCTTCACTTCAGTAACAGAGCCAAAAGCAAGGACTCAGTCTCCCGAGGCATTGTTAGGCCGGATATATTTTTTTTGTGTGTGTCCTTTGTTTCTGATCCTCTCTACCCGCATTTCCTCTAAACATCCGACTGGACGAGGGGTTAGGGACCCTCGCGACAACTTCGAACCTCAACCTCCCCAGCTCCTTGCGCCCAGCCCTCGGCCTGCGCGCGCGTCTCTCCTCCTCCCGGGCCTGGGTTTCTTGGCCACCAGATTTTGGAGAGGAAAGCGACCCGGGAGGGGAAATGGGGCTGGTGTTTTCTCCTTACCTTTCTTATCAGCGCGAAGGTCCTTGGTCGGGTCAGACTCGCCGTAGGCGCGCGGGTAGAAGGCGGGGGCGGCCGGGAAGGCAAGAGCGCACTTTGGGGGTGAAGGCGCGGGGCCCAGCTCGGCTCGCAGCTCGGGGAGGCCGGGCGCCACCGCCTCGGGCCCAGAGTAGGCCTCGGGCTTGAAGGCAGCCAGCATGCAGGACGCGGGTGCCAGGGTGGCCTCCAGGCGCGCTGAGAGCTCCCCGGCTGCCAGGCTGCGCTGCTGCTGCTCCAGGTTCAGGATGTCTTTGACCGAGAAGGGCGTGGGTGTGAGCGCAGGGCTGGGGAACATGGTGGCAGCGCCAATCTCACAGCGCCAGGTGGGCGGCAGACAGTGGCGCTGCCCACGGGCTCAGGCAGCCTCCCTGCATGGTGTCCGCCGCCCGCGCCCGCACAGCCGCTTTCCTGCTCGGAATATGGCCCGGCAGCAGGTAGCGCCGACCACAAGGGGCAGGAGAGGCGGGACTAGACCAGAGGAGGGGGATTTAGCCTGCCATTGGGCCAGGGGCCTCGATGACAGGAGAGACGGGCAGTTTCGGGTCACCTAATATAGTCATTCGGCTTGGGAAAAAAAAAAATACCCTGCTTGACTTTTTTAAAGGGGCCGCGACACATTTGGAAGTCAGCTTTTGCAGTGTGAGATTGCTCCACCTTGCCTGAAAAGTCCAGCAAGATGCATTCCCAAGAAAAGACCTGATTCTGCTTTGAGCTGGGCCTCTGGCCAGGTTGGGTGGGTCTTGGGGTGGGGGGGGGTGAAGAAATTTTCCTCTGCACTCCCAGCGAAATGGGAGGGTGAGGATAGAGGGGGAAGGTGGGGGATGGGGAGTTATTTCCAGGAACCATTAAAGCTTTATTACTGAAGATGAGCTTGGCTGGCAGGAGTATGGATAGGACCAGAAGCATGAAGGAGAGGGTTGTTCTGGAAGGGCAGAAGGGCAGACTCTGGAAATTTGGGGATTTCATTTGTTTTTGACCTACAGGACCAGTCATGCCACAGTATTCCCTCCTTTCCGGGTCCCGGGATGCCTGGGTGAGTCAAACTGAAAGAAAAGGCCAGTTGGTTGATTGTGGGATGGGAGTGGCCACCTGCAGCAGACCAAGTTGTACAGGAACACCTGTTTTCACTCTCGGCTAGGAATTTACTCTTGTCCCAATGAAGCAAATCCAGCATCCCAGCCAGTACCTCAGCTTTCCAGAAGAGAGTTATCTTCTAGGTTGTCCAGGTTCCTGCGGAGACCACAGATGAGTTTTCCTTCTTCTGCCACCACCCCCTCCCATCCTCCCAACAAGAACCTTAGGCTTCTGCCAGCTTCAGGCCCAAAGGGCCCAGACCAGGTTTAGTTCTCAGGTAGACTGGGCTCTTCTGAGCCAAGCCAGGCCAGGATTCCGCTGAGGTATCATGGTGGCTCTGAATGGAACATGGGGAAGGGCAGGACAGGTGGAGGTGGTCATTTTTAGTCCAGGGTCAGTGAAATAGGGCACCTCTGTCAGACAAATCTGCCAGAATCTCAGGAGTGCAAGTTACCTTTCCAGATGTTGTGCAGTTGGTTTTATCCTTGGGGTCCCAGAACTCCTTGGGAGAGGTGAGAAATGCTTGGGCCCCTGCACTCTGCAGAGCCATGTAATTTCAGAGAGGGCAGGCCAGGCCAAGGGACTGCATGTTAAAGACCTGTGGTTGGGGATGATGAGGCTGGTCAGTGGAAAACCTTGATTTCTCACCACCCCAGTTTGGACTGGGAAGGCGTGGGCCGGAAACTAGGACCTGCTGAGAATGGGGGGGGCGTGAAGGGCTCAGCTCCTTGTGGAGGGGCCAGTTGGGGATGGGTGGAAGAGGCGCTTAGAGTAAAAGGGGGCTCAGGGTCAAAAGTCAGGTAAAGGCGCCACTTTCGTTGGCGTGGTGCCAATAGAATGCGCTCCGAAAGTGCAAAGGAAAAGCGCAAAGTACAGAGCAGAACTGTCCAGAATGTTAATTGTGGCTGCTCCTAACCGGTCAGTGTGGTGTCTGGCGGCGCCGCGGGCAAGGGCGCAATTGAAGTCAAGCATTGCCCTGAGTTGGGTCCTTTTCCGCCACCCATCAAATTTAAACTCCCAAAGCCTGCGAACTTCGAGCGAGGGCGCAGGCGAGCCAGCACCGCGGGGCAGCCTCGGAGGCACTAGCGCCCTGATCCCGGCTTTCAGGCGCCAACTGTCAGTACCAGGCCTGGTCTTCGCAGTGAGATCTGGCCTCCAGTTTTTGAGTCAGGGATGACACGAGGTGCTGGGATTGTTAGCCTGATCTGCGGAGAATGCCTTTCCCCAAAAGTGGGGTTCTCAAGCTTTAGAAATCCTTTCTCAATCCTTTAGAAGGATCTTAGCCCTCTCCCATCTCTGCACCCCACAATCCAGATTCTTTCTTCACGGAATCTGCAGCTGCTTTGAGGTCCTTCCTTGCCAGGGTTTTGGGGGCGTTAGTTATGGCTCTAGATTGGGGGCCCTCTTCGACTTTGAAGATTGTTTTTTGGGGATGGGAGAGGATGCCTCTCGCTGAGGCGGTGACGTCTGGCAAACCAGCCACATCCGATTCAATTAAAAGTCTCGTTGAAAAGAGCTCAGACAGAGCGAGGGTCCTGGGAGCGCTTTAAGTGAATGGGCTGGCCCTGCGACTCGCGATGACAGTTTGAAAGATTAGTGTGAGCCGACGCCTGAAATATTACCGTTTAATGGGGGGACACTGAGGCTGCATCCGGGATCCCTGTTTTAAGTTTTTAAAAAAGGATAGTTCTGGAGAAATAAAAAACTAGCATTTCCTTTGCAAATCAAGACGGTAAAGATTTATCACGTATTTTCGGAATCTGTGGGTCAGGTGTCACGAAAAGGGAAGGAAAAAAAATCCTTCCTTTTCAGACAAAATCAGTGCCTTTTCCACCCCTTACACTCTCTGTGGATCCGGTAATAATTTCTTTTGCTTCAGAAAAGGCCCTGGGCTTTCTGAAGAGAGAGGAAATGGGGCAAAACCGGTAAATACTGCACAAAATTGAGATGAGGACGACCCAGGCTGATGTTCACAGAGCAATTTTCAAGAGCAATTTCCAACTTTGTTTTGAAGTCCTCATTGTTTCCAAGAGAGTACAAAAAAAATATTTAAAGAAAAATAGAACTAGCAATGGTTGGGGGTGGGGTGGGAAGAAAACTGATTCTCAGGTCCCAGGAGGGACACCTTTCCTCCAGAGGACGGCTGGCCCAACCTGGCCGCCTCTCTAAGCCGCGCTTTGACTAAACTAGCAGGACAAACAAACAGCCCTCAGCCAGAGAAAGGCAGGGACACAAAAGGAGGGAGCGCAAACCCGTACGTCTATTTCTTTACCTTTTAAAGACTTGGTGCTTTAAGATTAGTCAAATTCCAGGGTGACTCGAGCGCGTTCTGCGCAAATAAATTATTATTAATTGAAAAGCGATCGGCTGGGCCCAAACCGCCCCCCTCCTTTCCTGCAATCAGCAGGGCCGGCCGCAAAAGGTATATATGATTAATTGAAAGATAAGCTGGAACTATCACCGGGAATGTCATTAATGCGCCGGGGAGACGTCCACTGGAGACAGGCGGCGTTATCCGCGGCTTTATCTTCAACAACGCCTCGCTCTCGGCCCGCGCCGGGGAAACAGATGGGGTTTCTGTCTGGGACGTTCGCCCCGTGTTTATATTTTGGGAAGAATCGCAGCTCGTGGGAGTCCCCGGCGGGCCCCCTGATAAATGAACATTAGCACTTTTTCGGACTACTGTATCAACAAAGGGGCTGCGGCCCGGCAATAATTGGCGAGAAAGCAAACAGAGGGCCGAGAGCGCGACTCTGCTCTTCGTCCGGCTGATGGATGAGCAGCGACGGCTGCGGCCGGCCGGGCTCCCGGCCCTCGCCCCGGCCCTCGCCCCGGCTGGCCGGTCCACCGAGCTGGCTTCCGTCCTCGTCCCGGACTGGGGGCGGGGGCGACTGCGACTGTCGTCCCCGTGGCCCCCGGGACACCGGCTTTTAGGGAGCCGGGACGCACCACGTTCAGGTGGCACAGGCCGCACCAAATCTTCCGCGTCCCGCAGTTTCATGAGCAGCCGCGTGTCGTTGCGGATCCTCTTATCCCTTGGGTTTGGCCGCAGTGAATGAGGCTCAGAGAAGAGCACTGACTTGAACAAGGTCACACAAATTGGAGTGACAGTGTCAGGATGTCAGGATTCCAATCCAGAGAACTGATTTCCACCGCTGGAACTGTTTTCTTGTAAGTCTCTATCTCATATAGCCATGTCAATTGCAGAGGAAGCAACACCTCCTCCCCACGCAGGCGAGAGGACCAGGCCTGAGTCTCCCAAAACCTTCAGCCACAAGGGGCACTTCCTGCATGGGGGGTTGGGGGAGAGAGAGAGAGAGAGAGAGAGAGAGAGAGAGAGAGAGAGAGAGAGATTTAAATAGGTTTTCTCCTCCCTTCCTCTTCTTCTAATAGCTTTATTGAGTGTAACTTACTTACCATTCAATTCACCCATTTTTACAATTTCATTATTTTTAATAGATTCAGAGAGTTGTGCAACCATCACCACAAATAGTTTTAGAACATCCTCACCACCCCCAAAAGAAGCCTGTGACCTTTAGTCATCAGTCTTCCCATCTCTATAGCCCTACTTAACCACTGATCTACTTCCTGACTCTATGGATTTGCCTCTCCTGGATATTTCAGACATTTCTTATACTATGTGACATTTTGTGTCTGATGTCTTTCAGTTAGTGTGCTTTCAAAGTTCATTCATGCTATGGCATGTGTCTGTATTACTTTTTCTTTTTCTTTTTTTTTTTTACAATACCAGAATTTGAACTCAGGGCGTACACTTAGAGCCACTCCACCAGCCTTTTTTTATGAGGGTTTTTTTTTTTTCAAAATAGGGTCTCATGAACTATTTTGCCTCTCTGGCTCTCTGCCATCCACAGTCCTCCTGATCTCTGCTTCCTAGTAGCTAGGATTACAGACTCTGTGTTACTTTTAGTGGTTGAATAATACTTTGCTGTTGTATGGACATACCACAGTTTGTTTATACATTCATCAGTTGATAGACATGTTATTTGTTCCCACCTTTTGGCTATTCTGAATACTCTCCCAGCCCACTTCTAGGGGTCTGGGGTAATCCCCACCATCTATAATTAAGCTCTTCTTTCTCTCAAGGCTGGCTTCTTAGGAAGCCAGATAGGGCCTGAGCTTGGCTGAATGTTTCATTCTTGGTGACTTAAAATTCTTAATAATTTTTTAACAAGAGGCTCCAGGTTTTCATTTTGCACAGAGCCCGCAAATTATGTAGTCAGTCCTGCCATCTAGGCAGTGTGGGCAGACCT